ATCTTGCATTTGCATCTAATTAATGCGCTACACAATTCATTCATTGTTCATTACGAGAGCACACGTTCTTACTGTGTCCAATTGCTCTTCAATTCATTTAATTTAATTTTAGTTTTTAAAATTTTCATTTGTTTCAGATTGTTGGCTTTTTTCAATGAAATTAATTTTAACATTCAGCAGTAATAATTGCTACTCAATGTTTTGGGAATATTTCCTATTGAAATTGAAATAGCAATACTCTCGAGCGCAGTGCACGTGTGTGCGTGTGTGTGTGTGTGTCTGTACTTTGCAACACGTGTTTTACTGGTTTCCTATTGTGTCATCATCGTGCTTCATATGTCGGTTCTGTCTGTTTATCCTCATCACTTGACTTGTATGCTGTGTATGCATTTTAATATGTACATATTAATAGATACTCCTAGATATTCCTCAGAGTGTGTGTGTGTGTGTGTGTGTGTGTGTGTGTGTGTGTGTGTGTGTGTGTGTGTGTATGGGATGTGGTGTTTGTTGTGCACAATCCTCATGAGATACATTACTTCATCATGTACTGATGTACTGGAATATAATTCAGGATTGTACAACCATGCTGTCTTGTCGTCTTGATTAATTTAAAAAATGTTCGCCATCTCACCTTGTTTCTTGGCAATTTATAAATGTTCAAAACGATCATTAAGACAAAACACACATTACAATATCACCTAATAACTTGCACATAACAAAAAATCGGTTAACCATTTGATACTATTTACTGATGAGCCTGCTTTTGCTCACTCTTCCCCTCCTTACATCTGAAATTTTTTTCCAACTTTTCTAACTACATCGCATTTCTCTGCAAGTTTCATGACTCTCAAAAGTTATTTACTAATGAAATTGGTTGAGCGATAATCGGAGATCAGTTTTTATATTTTTGAATCAACGATTTCTATTTTTTTTTTAAACAGAAAGACTACTCGCCATACTTGCAAGCCCCCGATGCTGTCTGTACGAGGTTGCGGTCTTGCTGCTGTTTCATGTTTCTCAGTATTCGTATTAATGTTTCAATGTCGTTGAACATGGCTGGCTGTCGTTGAAGGCTGTTGTATCTTGTTGTATCTTGTGGTATCTTGTTGTATCTTGTTGTATCTTGTGGTATCTTGTTGTATCTTGTGGTATCTTGTTGTATCTTGTTGTATCTTGTTGTATCTTGTGGTATCTTGTTGTATCTTGTGGTATCTTGTTGTATCTTGTTGTATCTTGTGGTATCTTGTTGTATCTTGTTGATGTGTGCGTGGCGTTTATGCGTTCAAAGTGATGAATTGTTTATGATGATAATGCAAGTAGAAAGAATGATGATAACGGGTCTGAATAAATTAGCATAATTAGAGAAATAGTTGTTCTGTGTTAGTGAGGTTATTGATGGGGCCTGGCTGATGCTGTTGATGTGCCTGCCTGCAAAAGTTCCTGCTTAGAGATGGTTTGCAATGTTTTAAAATCCTGTCATATCATTATTTCTTCGTCATCCAGATCCTCTTCTGACTCAAAAATTCACGAGAACTTGAATAAAAAGCTCAACAACAACAGCAGCATCAGCATCTACAACAACTGCAACAACAACAACTCGATCATCAATTTGACTGGAAACAGTGCTGGCAGTAGGAACCACCTTCTTCTCGGGGCAGGTCTGTCATTTTTATAACATTCATTCTCTCTCAGCGATCATAATCATGGACACTGATGATGACGATAATAGTAATGCTGATGATGATAATGAAGATGATGATAATGTTGATGTTGAATATATTGGTGAAGAGAATGATCTCAATGATGATTATGACGACGACGACGACGATGATGATGTTGAAGATGGTAATGATGATGAATTTAACAATATGATGAGAGGCATTTTTGAAGTTGCAGGTTCAGCAGTTACTGGCCAAATGAAACATGTTCGTATTTCATGTCATTTCAATTATTAATTATCAATTTTTAATAATAGATTGTTATGTGCTTACAATATTATTGATGTTGTGTCGGTGTTGTGTTGATATTAATTTAACAATAGTTTCTAGCCAATTATTTAGTGTAGTTCAATCAAAAAATTTTTGGTCGAGGGTTTCTTTTTTATTTTTAAATATTTTTTCTAATTTTCTTTTTCTCTCTCTCTTCCTCTCTTTCTTCCTTTTTTTTATCCTAATTCAATTTTTGTCAATAAATTGTCCTCAAATTTAATTTTTGTTAGCATGTTTATTCTTATTTGTTCCTTTTTCTGAATTGCTCTTTAATTATCTCTCTCTCTCTCTCTCTCTCTCTCTCTCTCTCTCTCTCTCTGTTGGTGTTTTATTATTATGGGTTTTTTTTATAGCCATTACTTATCGACGTTTTCACTACGTACGTCATCATGGTCATCCTCATCCAGGCTAATGTTGTTGTTATTGTTATAACTATTGCCTTCAGTTTTACCAATATTTCAATTAATATTATCACCGCCCTCATCATCACCATCATGTTACGTTGACGTCACGTTGGTACTTCTTCGTCACCATCACTAATTTCGTCATCATATTTTTATGCATTCACGGCGTCGTCGTTACAACGTTTCGAATTTTTTAACAGGACAGACCACGATCCTGTGAAATGTCCAATAAGAGGTGATTTTATTTGTATGTACTTATGCATGCATGTGTGTGTGTGTGTGTGTGTGTGTGTGTTTATGTTTTTGAGCGTATATATGCATGTTGCATTTTGTGCATATATATGCGTTTTTTGCCTATATACATACATGCATGTTTCATGCAACATGCATGTATGTATGTTCTAGAGGAGTTCTTTCACGAACTCTAATATGGCCACGTCCTATCTTCTCATAAATTCCTTAATTTTAAGGAGCTAATAAAATTTCGTTTCATTTCGTTTTGTATGCGTGCTAAGAAGCAAGAATGTATACATAAATGTTCGTGTTTGAATATATGAGTGCCAGTGCACGAGTGAATGTATGGTTGTATGTGGAATGTTAATCTCACCATCACATGCTGTTTAATGAAAATTATACAGTTACATAAAAATGTTTATTTACTTTCAGCGGTGTGTACCCAACGTTGACTGCTCAGCTGATGCAGGGAAACAATGGTCTCGTGGGCGCCGACAGTAACGACAACAACAACGAAACGTTAACTGCATTCTTGAACGTGGCTCCACAACAACAACTTTACTCTGGATCACTTCCCGACCTCAAAACTCAGTTGGATCAACATCAAAAGTTACTGGAACATTTAGGAAACTTTCAACAACAGTCACCTGCATCAAACTCTTATCTTCATAATTCAATTCTTGCAACGTCAACATTGCCACCTGCTTATTCGAATGCATTAGGCGGCAACAATTTTGTCGATAATTTTAGTTATGCCAATCCAGCAGTCCTTCGGCAATATCAGCAGCAGGTTGATGAGCGATATAACAACAACGTCAACAACAACAACAATGCAATAATGAATGACAACAATTCGTATGCTCTTATCAATCGGGTTATGCTACCAGCAACATCAAGTGATGAAAAAAGTTTAACTTTTGTTGGCGGTTCCAATTTCAATGTTATTAACCAACAACAACAATCGCCACAACATCAACACTCCAACTTGCCTTCGAGTTTACCAAGTTACTACTACGTTGAACATCAAAATTCGCACAAGCAGCACAACCCTCAGCAGCAGTTCCCAATACTCTCGTCAACCCCACCAAGCACAATTGAATTCTATCAGAACCAACAACCACAACAACATCAGCATGAACCTCCCCCTCCTTACCCCTTCTCAAAATCATCCTCACTTCCTCCCACATCACCTCCGCCAGCCATCACATTAACGAGTATCGACAACAGTTTAGACATCAACGACGTCAACACTACACTCCTCCTCGATAGTCCACTTATTGATCCCAGTAACTACGGGTACAGTCCTTCGTGGGACAAATTTTTACAGTCACCTGTGCCTTTAAACTCACCAGTCAGGAAGGCAACACATTTGAACTCTGCATCGCCATTGGTTGCTGGGTTTAGTCAATCTCAGAGCACTGCTTCTGATGGGACAAATTATAATAAGGTCATTGGAGTAAAAGAAGTTAAAAATGAGTTTGAATTTAATCCTAATTTTGTAAAAGTTTTGCCCCAACAAATACTTTCACAGCAACAGCCAAATTATCAACAACACTATATTCAACATCAGAATGTTCTACAACAATTACAACGTAATCATTTACTCATTAGTTTTTTTAAATTTTGCTTTATAAATAATGTTTAAATCAAAGTTGAATTATGAAATTGACTATTAACTATATGAAAAAGATAACGGCCTGTAAAATATCTAAGATTGAAATAGAAATTTATCTGCCAGAGTGGCACCTCTGCGCCTATACGGGACGATATTGCAGCACCCAAAGATCGGCTATTTAGTGTTGATTCTACAGACCATTCATGATTTGCCACATCCTTTGCAGAGAAATTTTAAAGTTTCTAATTAATTGTTTTCTGACTCTTAGTAGCAAGCTTTTTAGATCTTTTTGCTCCTTCAGACACGCGTTTATCAGGTTTATATGTGGCCCAGAATCTCGTTTGATAACAGTCTGCTCTCCTCAAGTTTTTTGATGATTGCAGATGTCTTCTAATCAAAGTCAGGGTTGTTTTGTATGGCGCAATCCCTGAACTATTTCACCAAACAAATGAGTTGCGATTTCATTTTCCTAACTGACTGTAGACGTTTCACAGTCTTTTAAAAGAGCCAAATGTTAGTGGACTCTACATGGTTCGGATCCTCTGCCTTACAAACTTATATGCTTGATGCGTGTCAGCACCCACGCTAAAAGCCGATTGTTTTTTTTTGTGCTTTGTATGTACCGTTCAATCTTCGGGAGCTTTCTTTCACTCCGAGCGTAAATGCAAAAACTCATTTTATTCTCAGGTAGCTAGAGAAGTAAATGCCAAAAAGTCATTAGAGCTTTAATTCAGTTTTAGCCTGAAACTGATTGTAAATTTATACAACGAAATGATGGTAATCAAAAATTTAGATTTTTTTGAGCAACTTGAACACTCTTCTTAATCAGTGATGTGATGCCATAATTGCGTTTGTCCCGAGGGATTCATCGTTTCTTCCATCACGGACTGCGAAGTTTGTGTAGCTGACTAAGTATGTTTAACACTTTTGGAATCTAGATGTGGATGGTAGGTAGATAGACCATCTGCGATGAAGGTCTATTCCTTTTTAATGGCATGTTTAAAATGGTAGCCAACTGAAACTTTGTTTAGGGTTGCACAAAACAGAACTAATAAGTGATTGATCTAACATTGCAACTCTTTATCCTAGTCCAAGGTGCTATCCATTTTCACCTTAGTGGAATGATTTTGATTACTCTTGTCGCAATTTCTGTGACGTACATACGTTGCAATACCTTTTGCTTGTGGCATTTGAGTTCAGTTGTTGTTGGTGGAGGTGGAGGAGTTCAGTTATTGTTGAGTTAAATTATATTGTTGTCGGCACGGAGTTGGGATGAGATGAATTTAAATATTTAATTTTTTTTATTCGTGTGCTTCAACTATATCACTTATATTTGATATTGATTGTTTTAATTAATTCAGCATAATTGTAGAATAATTTTATTTACACACACGTGAGAAATTTTTCCGGTTCAAGCATTGCCTAACACGACGACAAGCACAACAACAGCGATGACGTCCGTACCAAAAATAAAACCATTAATGACAATGTCTTTTGCGTTAAGCAGCAGTGACGGCACACGTGCCACTCCGCAGAAACCGCCAACAAGACTTGACAACATGAATGACAACAACAACAACTGCACCACCTTTCCCTCTCTGTCGTGTCTCGGAGACTCCTTCGACGAATTTGACCAATTTAATACAGATGACATCAAGTCTGTTCTTTTAATGTTTCTCATAATCAATTTACTTTAAATTTAATAATGTTATTAGAGTTTATTCATTTTTGAATTGTTTGGCACGTTTGTAAAATAATTGCTTTAAAATTGGCTTTGCAGTTCAAATTCACAACTGCTGAACATTCTTGCGATGCGGAGCTGCAAACTGCCCGTCCGTCTTATGCGCTCTTTGTTAATTCTGCCTCTGATGTTGTGCAAGTTAATTACGTCAAGTCACATGATTGGATGATCACTGTTGAAATAATTTATAAAAATTAAGTGGAACTGTGTACGCTCTATGCAATATTTACTTTTTTTTGCCCCGAATTATGTTTTAAGCAGTGATTGGAACGCAACATTTTTAATCAAGGAACGCTACACATCGAGTAGGCCAGCTCAAACGATGTTAGCCAACTTGATGCAATTAGTTTTATTAAATGGAATTGAATGAAATAACTGTCGCCAGGTTGGACCCGCTGGACATCAACGAGCTGGCCCTCCTACACGATACCAACTGCAATGTTACCGATACGGACATTTTCAAAATTCATCAAAGTTAAAATCAGGAAAAGCTGAATTAAAACTGGAAAATTATTGTTTTTCATTTATTGCTTTTATATTTAAATATATGATAATTGTTATTTAAAAATAAAAAAAAAATTATGAACCGATTTTTGTTATTTTCATTTGTTCTTTCATTATTACCGTTCAACTGTCGTGCGCATAGGTCAATTCGTTTTATGTTCCTTCATTTCTTTCTTATATTTCTTTTCATTCACACAGTTTAGTTGCTTTTAGTTAGAAAAAAACTACATTGTTAAGATAATTTACTACATTGTATACAGTGTGCTTGCATATATATATATATATATATATATATATATATATATATATATATATATATATATATATATATATATATATATATATATACACATATATATATATG